CAATGCACAAGCTGTGGGAGGAAAGGAAGGAGGATATCTCAGTAACAGATTTCGGCTTTCAGGGAACATTAGAAATATATCTTTCTGAAGGAGAAATGAGAGAGGTGGATTCAGATGAGATGCTTGCTCGAAAGAATAGGCCATACGTGGGGCTAGAGGATCTGACCAGATGCCTAATATGCCATGACGCCATTGCTGCAGTTTAGGCAGGTAGCAGAAATTAAAACTGGGTGAGGTGACTTCAGAAAGGGGCAATTATCATCATCATTCACAACCAGGGACAATGCATTTGTCCCTGGTTGTAGATGGCTGAGGTTGTTTGCTTGTGAATGGAAATTTCTGGAGGAAAATGTGGATTGTTGGTCTGCTGACAGAGCTCATGGGGAGATGACTGCGAGGTAAGATAAATGGAATGGAGAGGAGACTGATGAGGCTAATTGATCCAGGAAATAGGAGGATAAGACAACTGAAGTTACAATTCGCAATTTGCAGTCTTGATTCATTGATTGTCCCTCAGCAGAGATACAAGGAGATAACCCAAAGGTAGACATGTGTTTATGAGGTGGATTCAACTTCAAATGACATTTGGAAAACAGAGGCTTAGTGATGCACTGTATACAGACTAGTGGGCAAAGTATTCAAAAGGACAAAAAATTGAAGGTGACAAAACTGAATGACAGGAAAGGAAAGAATGGAAAGGGAAATCAGAAGAGGGAAAGAAAGGAAATATAAACAATTGGTCCAAACCTAGAGCAACAGGAAAAATGTAGCAATAGATTTAGAAGATATTCAAGTTACACAGGTATGGCATTGTTTGTAAAAATAAGACAGACAGCAGACTATTTTAAAGAGTCAAAATTTCAAATCCAAGTCCCAGTGGTGGTATAGGATCGGCCTATATTGGCCTATTGGGAGGCAATGGCCAAGTGGTATTATTGCTGGACTGTTAATCCAGAAACCCAGATAATGTTCTGGGGAATCAGTGCCCTGGTCTAGAAGCAAAATCAGGTCCAAGAGTCCACTGGGGGCAGAGTATTAATGGTGTACTACCTGAGGTTGTGCACTAATGTGGACGAGTCAAGGATAACGAAGTATTTGTCATATTCAGTCTTGCCCTGTGGATTCTTCATATTCAAAAATGAATCCCTGGAAACGAGCAAGAATAACAACAAGCCTCTCTTCCTTGTGAAATCCTTATGAAAAGTCATTCATGAAAACTTTTTGCAGGTTTACAAAAGGAAGAATTCAAAAGAAGGGGACACTGAATTGTAGGTCGCAGCTGGCTGTAGTCAGCCTAAGAAAGAGGATTTTGAAGTCTTCCTGTACACTAAGGGAAATAAATGGTAATCACAGAACCGCGAGCCCTAAGTAATAAGAGTTTTCTGGCACCAGCTTGCAAACAATGGCCAATGCCACGTGCCACTCTGCACCAGCACAGGATTTTTTTTGAATGAATTGCAAATAAACAAGTAAAACATTGCAGACAAGCTATCTCAGACAACAGGCACACATCAGACAGGCTGAGTATGAAGCAACACAGGTTCATTGTTTAACAATGATCTATGTCGTCAACTCTACAAAGACCACAAAGAATACTCAATCATCACCATTAATGGCAGCAAAGGCCACAAGTGTTTTCAATCTTTACTCAACAAATCTGCTTCAGGTATCACAACTGCTCTTTTATTCAGCTTTCTACTGAAGGAGGTAACTGAAGCCTTATTTTGTCACACATCCACCTTGGTACACTTCAACAGCTACCAGCAACAGCAAAGGCAGAAATGAAAGTCATGTCTTTACACGGTATCTTTTACTAATTCAGGGTATTCTAACACACTTCACATCTGAATACAATGATGTTCATTGAAGACTGCACAGTGTTCAGTTCCAATTGCCATTCCACTCACAATAAAGCATTGCGCACACTTCCAACAAGACCTACACAAGATCACAGCTTGGTTTATAACTGGTAACTAAAATTGATAGTACACAAGGGCAAGATAATAAAACTCTCCTATTAGAGACTTGAAACATTTCTTCATGGCATTCCATGACATTATCATCATCGTATGAAAAGATTTACTGAAATGGTACCGGGCATGAGAGACTTCAGTTGTGTGGAGATTTTGGAGAAGCTGGATTTGTTCTTTTCCAAATAGAGAAAATTACAAGATTAGATAAAGTGCTCAAAATCATAAGTGAGTTTGAAAAAGATAATTAGACACAGGGCCAGCAGTAGGCTATTCAACCCACCAAGTCTGTTGCCATTCAATGAGATCATGGCTGATCTGATAATCCTCAACTCCACTTTCTTATACTTTCCCCATAACCCTTCATTCCCTTACGAATTAAAAATCTGAGTATTAAAAATTCTCAGCCTTGAATATACTTAATGACCCAGCTCCATGGCCCATTGTGTAAAGAATTCCACAGGTTAACTACTCTTCGACAGAACAAATTCCTTTTCAACTCTGGCTTAACTGTTTTAATCAAGGACTGATCAGGGATAGTCAGCATGGCTTTACACGTTTAGCAAGGCCTTCAACAAGGTTCCACATAGTAGAATTGTATTGTTAGATCACATGAAATCCAGGAAGAGCTAGCCAATTGGATACAAAATTAGCTTGATGGTAGGAGACAGGATAGTGGTGGAGGGTTGTTGTTCAGACTGGAGGCCTGTGACCAGCAGTGTGCAGCAAAGATTGGTGCTGGGTCCACTGGTGTTCGTCATTTATTTAAACAATTTGAATGAGACTATAGGAGGCATGGTTAGTCATTTTGTAGATGACACCAAAATTGGTGGTATAGTGGACAGTGAAGAAGGTTATGTAAGAGTACAACGGGATCTTGATCAACTGGGCCAGCGGGCTGAGGAATGACAAATAGAGTTTAATTTAGATAAATGAGAGGTGTTGCATTTTGGTACAATAAACCAAGGTAGGACTTACACAGTCACTGATAGGGCCCTGGAGAGTGTTGTCGAACAGAGGGATCTATGGGTGCAGATGTGTAGTTCCTTGAAAGTGACATCACAGGTAGACAGGATGGTGAAGGCGGCATTTGGCACACTTGCCTTCATTGAGCATTGCACTGAGTACAGGAGTTGGGACATCATGTTACAGTCATACAGGACATTGGTAAAGCCACATTTGAGTTCTGATGACCCTGCTTTAGGAAGGATGTTATTAAACTAGAAAGGATGCAAAAAAGATTTACATGGATGCTACCAAGACTAGAAGGTTTGAGTTATAAGGAGAGGCTGGAGAAGTCGGGACTTTTTTTCCCCGGAGCATAGGAGGTTAAGCGGTGACCTTATAGGAGGTTTATAAAATCATGAGGGGTATAGATAAGGTGAATAGCCAAGCTCTTTTTCCTAGGTTAGAGGGGGTCCAAAACTAGAGCGCATAGGTTTAAGGTGAGGGGGGAAAGATTTAAAAGGGACCGGAGGGCAATTTTTTTTCACCAGAGGGAGGGTGGCATGTATATGGAATGAGCTGCCACAGGAAGTGGTAGAGGCATGTACAATTACAACAATTAAAAGACATTTGGACAGGTACATGGATAGGAAAAGTTTAGAGGGCTATGGGCCAAATGCAGACAGCTGGGACTAGTTTAATTTAGGAAACCTGTTTGGCATGTACAAGTTGGGCCAAAGGGTCTGTTTCCATGCTGTATGACTCCATGACTCTATGATCTAGGTGACCCCTTATTCTGTTACGTCCTCAGCTTCTAAACTTTCCCACATGGAAAAAACAACCTTTCTGTCTCTGCCAATATCTACCCCCACGCCACCCTCATAAGACAGTCCCTCCATACCTGGGATCAGCTTCGTGAACCTTCTCTGGAATACCTCTAATGCCAGTATCTCTTTTCTTAGACAAGGAGCCCAAAAAACTGTTCACAGTATTCCAACTGTGGTCTGACTAATGTACAGTTTTAGCATGACATCCCCACATCTTTACTCCATTTCCTTTGAAATAAAGGTCACCATTCCATTTGCCTTCCCTTTTACTCGCTAAACTTGGAGAAAGTCAGAAGAAAATGTAATTAGAAGACATAGATGAACCAGAGACGATATGAAGAGATATTCTTTTTCACAGCAAGTCACAGTATGATGTACTGGAAAGGTCTGCCTAAAGAAATGATAGAAGTAGGTTCAATGATCACCTTCAAAAGAGAATTCAAAAAAAATGTGAGAAAATATTTACAGGATTTCTGAAAGAGCAGGAATAATGAGCTAGCACCACCAAAATACCACACAGTCACTATGATCTCCTTCTGCACCATATCATTCAATAATGCTCAGCTGAGTTACTGAAGTGAGGTACCATGGTCCTTCCATCATTCTTATTAAGAGGCAAAGATAATTTATTTTGGTAAGAATATATGTGAATCTAGTTATAATTCTGCCCCATATGTCGAATTGATAGGAAATAAAGCAGCTTAGCATTTTTCATCAAACTTCATGACAACAAGGATTCACATGGTCTGCCTTCACAGAAACTGAAGAAATGCATTTACAAAAGACATTGAATACCTTGTCCAGATTGTGAAAAAAATGTTATTGTTACATCTCATTGTAATAATAGACTCGGGGAATTGTGTGTCAACGATCAAATTCGGATGTCCAGATCACAAAAGTAAGCAACTGATACAGTTGAAACTGAGAAAATATCTACCAGCACGGACACTTGCTCCTCATCAACTCTCCAGACTGCATCTATCCATCAAATTCATCTTTAATAATTACTATTTTAATTCTTTTTTAAACTGGCATCTCTGTTAGCTGTTGCTCACAATCAGTGCTTGAAGTAAGTAGTGTCCTTCCAGGTACAGTATGCATCATTTGTAATATAAAATAAACTGAATAAAATGTTGGTGCATTAAACATGAGAACATTCACAACTGAAACAATAAGTTACAAAAAACTGTATCCATTCGAGTAATTTCCATTCTTTAACCACAGTTATTGCTTCTGAAATGGGACAGTGTTTCAGTACCTCTCTACTGCCATTCGAATCAGTCTCATCCAGTTATTCCTATCCTCTTTTGAGTTTGTATGCATTTCATACATTTCAGGTCCAGCAGATGAAGCACTAATTAAGAACATTCCTCGTTCTTCATTGGCTACTTCTCGGACAATTAATTTCTGCAGCAAAATAACTGCAGGCTTCTGGTCCTGATGTGAACAATAGAAAATGAGAAACAAATGAACAAACAAAACCAATAATGCCATTTAATTTAGTCTTATGCATGTCTTGTACTCTTAAAGTTACATGAAAGAATGTCAAACATTTGTAGTTATTAAATAAAAACAAAAGTATCAGAATACAAATTATTTGTCGTCTTACAATTAAAATCTTGGGTTAAAAATGATACATCACGTGTATAATCCAATTTAAAATCATTCAGTAAATGTGGTGAAAAAAATTCTGAGAAAAAAGATGAAAAACAAGAAAGTCTTTGAAAGAAGAGCAAGGATGAGGGGACTTGTGGGTAAGTTCTCAAAAGCAGGTTGTAGGTAGCAGATAGCTCTAACACCAACAGTGGATACACAGGAAACAGAAGTCTGAAGCTTAAAAATGTAATAATGACCAAGGGAGTAACTGCTTTTGTGATATTGGTTAAGGGCAAAACACTGGTCAGGGAGAGTGGTCAGGGAGAGCTCCATTGCTCTTTATTAAATAGTGCCATTTTTAAAAAATCCACCCGAGGGGGCAAACAGGGCCTAGATTTACTGTCTTATCTCAAAGGTAATACCTTCAAAAGTACAGCGCTCCCTCTGTACCACAATAAACTGTCAGCCTAAGTTTTGTATTCAAATCTCTGAACTTGGTCTTGAATCCATAACCTTCTGACAGAGGAACTTGGTGAAATAAATAGTGATGTCTTGAAAAGTATCCAGAAGAGAAGGTGCTGGAGGTGCTAAAATGCACAAGGGTAGGTAAATCTCTGGGACTTGATCAGGTGTATCCCATAACTTTGTGGAAAGTTACAGAAGAGATTTCTGGACCCCTTGTTGACAGCCAGAAGACTGGAGAGTCGTTAATGTGGTGCCATTATTTAAGAAAGGTGGTAAGGAAAAGCCAGGGAACTACAGATCAGTGAACCTGACATCAGTGGTGGGTAAGTAATTGGAGGGGATTTGGAGGGACAGGATTTACATGCATTGGAAAGACAAGAACTGATGACAGTCACTATGGCTTTGTGCATGAGAAATCAAGTCTCACTAACTTTGTTGAGTTTTTTGAAAAGGTGACAAAAAAGATTGAAGAAGGCAGAGCAGTAGACATTGTTGACATGAACTTCAGCAAAGCATTCGATAAGCTTCCGCATGGTAGACTAATTAGCAAGGTCAGATCACATGGAATCCAGGAGGAGCTAGGCAATTGGATACAAAATTGACTTGAATGTAGGAGACAGAGGGTGGGGGTAAAGTGCTGTTTCTCGAACTGCAGGCTGTGACCAGGTCACAGGTTTGTGCCGCAAGGACTGGAGCTGGGTCCACTGGTTTTCATCATTTATATAAACAATTTGGATGCGAATACAGGAGGTATGATTAATAGGTTTGCACTCAACACCTAAATTAGTGGTGTAGTGAACAGTGAAGAAGGTTACCTCAAAATACAACGGGACTTTGATCAGATGGTCCAATGGGCCAAGGTGTGGCATATGGAGTTCAATGTAGATAAATGTGAGGTGTTGCAGTTTGGCTGGACTTATACAGTTAATGGTAGGGTGTTGGGGTGTGTTGCCAAACAAACAGACCTTTGGGTGCGGGTGCACAGTTCTTTGAAAATGGAGTTGCAGGTAGACAGGGTGGTGAGGAAGGTGTTTGACACACTTGCCTTCATTGGTTAGTGCACTGAGTATAGGAGTTGGGACATAATGTTGCAGCTTTAGAGGACAATGGTGAGGCCACTTTTAAAATACTGTGTTCAATTCTGATATCCCTGCTATAGAAAAGGTGTTGTGAAACTTGAAAGGGTTCAGAAAAGATTTGCAAGAATGTTGCCAGGATTGGAGGGCTTAAGCTATAGGCAGAGGCTGAGCGCTGGCCTTATAGAAGTTTATAAAACCATGAGCAGCATGGACAGGGTGAAGGTCTTTTTCCCAGTTAGGTGAGTGCAAAACTGGAGCGCATAGGTTTAAGGTGAGAGGGGAAAGATTTAAAAGGGACCTGAGGGGCAACCATTTCAGTCAGAGGGTGATGCGTGTATGGAACGACCTGCCAGAGGAAACGTGGAGGCAGGTACAATTGCAACATTTAAAAGGCATCTGGATGGCTATTTGAATATGAAGGGTTTAGAGGGATATGGGCCAAATCCTGGCAAATGGGACTTGATCAGTTTAGGATATCTTGTCAGCGCAGCCGAGTTGGACTGAAGGGTCTGCTTCCATGCTGTATAGCTCTAGGCAAATGTACTAGATGATGTAAGTTTGAATTTATGCCCTATGGTCTGAAGAAGGTTGGTAAGTAAAGTATTAGAATTAGAATTGGAGCTGACAGAAGCCCCGAGAAATGTTTGTGTGGAGAAAATCTATAGGAATTGAGATTTTGGGGATGGAATTATACAGTCATAGTCATAGTTCTAGATAGAATACTGGTTTTGAAACAAAGCTCAAGATCAAAGCAGATGTCACGGTTGAAGCTGAGTGAAAGGCCAAGCAAGGATTGAGTCAGTGGAGAAAATGGATTAGTGCCAAGTACTAAAACTCATAGCTATTATCTTCCCAGTATTCAGTTAAGAAAGTAATGGTTCATCTGAAAATTGATGCCAAACAAGCAGTAAAACAGTTCCAGATGGGGGAAATGGGAGAGAGCTGTCACTACCGGATATCATCATCTTACCAATGGAACCAAAAAACTTATGCTTATGGACTTTGTGAGCAAAGTCAGAGAGAAGGATATGTACTTGGTGAATGCTCAGTATAACGCTTTCATTTCCTCATTTCAGCAGAACTGTGAAGCCATTATAGAGATGCATGACTGTGGACAAGTTAGTAGGAGTGAAGCCACGTGAGTGTATTTCCACGGTGCTGGTCAATGCAGAAATACAGTAAACTGTGTGGATTAGAACTATATCAAATTCTACTATTGGTATTAGAAGCAGATGGTATATTGAATGTGCAGACTTACTACATTGCACTATAAAAAAACTAGGGAATAGAACTCCCAAACTAGTTCACTTGATTTCACACTGTAACTTCAATGAAAGATCAATAGTAACCAGAGAGAAATGGCCACTTTCCACATGGCGAGTCAAATTCAAAGACATTTGAGATAAAATAAGTTGAACTCACCACATTTGCAAAAGTATACTTTTGGTCTTTCTCCTGCAGGAAAACTAGCACATCAGTAAGAAGCAGAGCTGTAATATCTGAAACAAAGTTAAGATAACTTAAAACACAGAATTCTGATAATCTTTTTGTGCTATTAATTAATTGACTACTAGTAATTTCATAGATGTATTTCATAGAATCCCTACAGTGTGGAAACAGGCCCTTCAGCCCAACAAGTCCACACTGACCATCACAGCATCCGAGCCTGACCCATCCCCCTATAACCCACCTAATCTATGCATCCCTGAACACTATGGGCAATTTAGCATGGCCAATCCTAGCCTGCACACCTTTGGACTGTGGGAGGAAACCGGAGCACCCGGAGGAAACTCACGCAGACATGGGGAGAATGTGCAAACTCCACACAGACAGTCACTCAAGGGTGGAATTGAACCCGGGTCCCTGTCATTGTGAGTACACTATGTCTGATTTTCAAACTTCTGCATTTCCAATTTAATTTGTCAACACAAGAGCACCATCTCAGGCTTGGGGTCATGCATTTGCCACTGAAAGCAATGTTTTAAGTTTTAGGAATGCATTCCAAAACTGAAAATAGTCTAAGAGGTATAGTAGGTGGTCTTGTGGTGCAGTCGGTAGCATTGCTGCTCTCTGAGCTAGAAGTTCCAGGTTTGTCTTCCATTCCAGGACATGATGGCCAAAGGCATGTGCATTCGTAATACTTCCAACAAATGGCAACAGCAGGCAGTGAGAACGGGAACATTTCCTGGTCAACCATGTGCTGGAAAGAAACTGGATCATTGACGATTACCATCTATTTCTCCAGATTATGATATGACTTGTGATGATACTATGGCTTTAAGACATGTACATTGTCCTGGTTTTTTTGTTTATGAAGAGAGGTTGAGACAGAGGTATTGAGCGGTCTGCTTTAAGCCAAAAAAGTAAACAGCTTGTGAGGCCTGTGGTCTTGTAAGAAGGTGATGAGAAGATAAAAAAAAACAATTGGGTATTTTTTCATGAAACTGAATAATCATCAACAGAAATATTCCACAATTGAGAAGGGAAATTTGAGTTCGATGTTGGCGTTGCAACATTTATTGTGCCAGTAATGGGTCTGAGACAATTGTATACACTGATCATAACTCCTTAAAGTGTTTAGAAAAAATTAAGGACAAAAATACCATCCTGTTGAAATGGAGTTTATTATTGCAGCCATTCAATTTGAAAATTATACACATTGCCTGATGAGACAACATAATTGCCGGTGCATTGTAGCAACTTTGATGAAGGAAGATGGAGGCATTCAGTGGCGGGAAAAACATGGACTGAAATGGTTTGAATTAGTGAATGTTTACATGCTTAGAGTCAATGCAATACATATGTAATGTAGTGTAAGACTAAAGGTTTTTAAAAAATTAAGCCATCTTTGTATATTGATGGTTCTTTTTTAAGGGGGAAGGTGTGACAATACTATAGCTTTAAGACTTGTATATTGTCCTGGTATTTTTCACAAAGAGAGGTTGAGGCAGAGATACTGAGCAGTCTGTTCCAAGCAATTAAGTTATCAGCTTGTGAGACCTTAGGATTTTTTTTTAAGTTGGAACAATAGAAGCAGCCTGAATGGGTGGGGTCAAGCTCCCACAGAATCAGGATTTTAGTTTAATCATTCAGTAGCAATTGCTAGGGTCTTTAAACTGGGTGAGGAAGCTTTTCCTCTCTCTCAGTTACAGCTAAAAGCTGGGTTTCTCTTTTTGCTGCTAGAATTACATGCAAAATAATCTACTTTACTGACTTTGCTTTTGCCAACGTGTGCTTGAGGGGTGTTATCAAATTGGAACAGCTAATAAGTAGTTTATTGTTTTGTTAAGTATTTTGATAGAGATACAGTTAAGCCAATTCTTTTACTTTTATTTTGTCTGTATTTTAACTATAGTGAATAAATAAAGTGTGTTTTCCTTCAAGCCTGGTAGCTTGGCTAATCAAATTACATCTGGAATGCAATGCCTGGCACTTATTTTTAAAGGGAGAAAAAGTTAAGGTCTAGGCCATCTCCCCGACATGTTTTGAAGGAGTTTGGTCCGGTCCATAACAAATATAAAAGTGCATATTGCAATGGGAGTCGTGGTGGTGGTGGTTAGGGGGTGGTGTGGTGTTGTAAACACAATGCTTAGCTCCATTGGATAGATGGCTGGTACAGATCATATTGGTGTCAACATGCTGGGGTTCGATCCCCATTAGTGGATTCAATGTTGTGCCGAACTTTTACCCTAATCTATCTAACCTTCACCCCTACCTTATACTATCATCCATATGCCTATCTAATAACCGATTAAGTGCCCCTAATGAGACCGACTCCACTACCCTCTCCGGCAATGCGTTCCATACCCCGACCACTCTCTGAGTAAAGAGCCTACTTCTGATGTCTCCCCTATATCTACCTCCACTCACTTTAAAACTATGCTCCATCATAATAGCTACCTCCACCCTAGGAAAAAGTCTCTGGCTATCTACTCTATCTATACCTCTGATCATTTTGTACACCTCTATCAAGTCACCTCTCATCCTTCGTTGTTCTAAAGAGAAAAGCCCTAGCTCTCTCCACCTTTCCTAGTAAGACCTTCCCTCCATTCCAGGCAACATCCTGGTAAATCTCCTCTGCACCTTTTCCAACGCTTCCACATCTTTCCTGTAATGAGGCGACCAGAACTGGATACAATACTCCAGATGTGGTCGAACCAGGCTTTTGTATAGCTGGAAGGTGGTTAAATTGGCAGAAGACACCAAGATAGGTCAGAAAGTAAGTTGTCAAGACAAGGCACAGAGTCAGTGAAAAGATATGGACAGATCAAGGGAGTGGGCAAAAATTAGGAACATCATTTGGGAAAATATGAGCGTGTCCACTTTTGCAAGAAGATGGCAGTTGTTGTTAGCGGTCAGTCATCTCAGCTCCAGGAGTTCCTCAGGGTAGTGTCTTTGGTCCAGCTATCTTCAGCTGCTTCATCAATGACTTTCCTTGATCATAATTTTAGAGGTGGGGATGTTTGATGATGATTGCACAATTTTCAGTACCATTTGGGACGCCACAGATACTTAGACAGTCCTTGCTCAAATATTGAGGGTACCTGATTGATATGTATAAAATTATGAGGGGCACAGATTGCATAGACAGGAAGGTACTTTTAGCTTTGATGGAGGGATGAATGACGCACAGCATAAATTTAAAGTATGGAGCAGAAAGGTTAGAGGAGATATGAGGAAAAGATTTTTCACCCAGAGCACGGTGGGAACCTGAAACTCACTGCATGTAAGAGTGGCAGATGCAGAAACTATCATAACATTTAAGAAGTATTTAGATGCACACTTGTGACGTCAAGGTATACAAGGCTATGGGCCAAGTGCTGGAAAATGGGATTACAATATTTAGGTGGTTGTTTTTGATCAGTACAGATGCAATGGGTTGAAGGGCCTTTATCTCTGCTGTAGATTTATTTGGCTGTGACTAACATGACAGACTCTAACCATCACCCCTTGACATTCAATGGCATTGCCATAATTAATACCATAATCCCTCACCATCAAAATCCTTGGAGTTACTATTGATGAGAAACTAAACTGGACCAACCACATAAATACTGTAGCTGCAAGGTCAGGTCAGAGACTAGAAATACGGCATCGATAAACTCACTTCCTGACTCCCCAAAGTCTGTCCTATATCTATAAGGCACAAGTCAGGAGCGTGATGGTATGCTCCCTATTTGCCTGAATAAGTGCAGCTCTAACAACACTCAAGAAGCTTGACACCATCCAGGAAAAGGCAGCTTGCATGATTGACAGCACGTTGACAAATATTCACTCCTTTTACCACCTCCGACCACTCCTTCTACTCAGTAACGGCAATATGTACCATCTAGAAGATGCTCTGAATAAATTCACCAAGGCTCCTTGGGCAGTACCTTACCAAACTACAACAAAAACTATCTAGAAGGACAAGGGCGGCAGATAAACGGGATCACCACCAACTGCAAGTTCCTCTCCAAGCGACCCACTACCCTGACTTGGAAATATATCACTGTTCCTTCAGTGTTGCTGAGTAAAATCCCAGAACTCACTCAATAATGGCAATTTGGGTGTACCTGCAGCAAACAGACTGCAGCGGTTCAAGAAGGTAACTCACTACCATTCTCTCAAGGGCAGCAGGGAATGGGCAATAAATGCTGTGCAGACAGCAATGCCCATGTCCCATGAATAATTTTTCTAAAAAAAATTAATTAAATGGAGAGAGAATGCAGAACTCAGTAGCAGAGGGATTGGGTGTGCTGACAAGTGAGTCACGAAGCTGATATGCAAGTACAGCAAGTGATTAGGCAGGCAAATAGAGTTGTTACTATTGCAAGGGAAATGAATGAAAATAGTGAAGTTTTACTGCAACAGAGTAAAAGGAAGTGCTGGAAAAGCTCAGCAGGTTTCGCAGTATTGTGTTGAGAGGGAAATAGAATTAATATTGAGTCCAATATAACTACTTGGAGCTCTAGCAACTCCAGTACTTTGTCTTTATTTGAAGTTTTACTCAAGTTATACAAGGTGTTGGAGAGGCAATTTCTGGAGTACTGCGTACAGTTTCGGCCTTATTTGAAGAAAGGATATGATTGCTTTAGATGCATTTCAGAGAAGGTTCAGTTGACTCATTCAAGGTGAAAGGATTATCTATCGAAGAAAGATTAAACATCGACAGTTATTGGAGTTTAGAAGAATGTGAGGTGATCTTATTAAAGCATATAAGATCTTGAGGGAACCGGTTAGGGTGGGTAGCAAGTGCACGTTTCCACTTGTGGAGCAGAACTAAGTGATATTGCTCAAGAACAAAAGATCTCAGTTTCCTCCCTCTCTGAGAGGGTCTTTATAATCTTAGGTTTTTAATGGTTTTGGGAGTCAAGGGTTATATAATCAACACAAGAGAATGGAAGCAAGACCACAATTAGATTAGCCATGATCTTATTGAATGATGAACCAGACTTGAAGGGTCATATAGCCCACTCCAGCTCCTAAGTCCTATATTCCTACAATAAAACAATGAACTGCAAATTCTAGTGATCTGAAAAATACAAAAACTGGAAGTGCTAGAGAAACTCAGCAGTCTGGCAGCATCTGTGGACAGAAAACAGAGTTAACATTTGAAATCTAGTTCCATTCTGAAGAAGGGTCACTGGACTTGAAATGTTAATGCAGTTTTCTCTTTACAGAAACTGCCAGGCCTGCCGAGTTTTTCTAGCACTGTCTGTTTTTGTATGTTTCCAATGTTCCTTTTGGAGGGTCGAAGATGGGAGGCCGGCCAGAAGGGTTAGAATGGAAATATGTAGGAAGTAACAGAGATTTAGCAATCACACTGTACCAATGGAAGCTCAGATACCTACCCACTAATTTGACTCTGGGGAGCACTACTAATGACGACTCCTAGAACAACATATCCCTTCATTGCTCTATGTTTGTGCACGACCATTGCAGCACTAAGGGGAAGTTCCAGAAGAGAAGCAAAAGTGGCACCTGTTGTCCTGTCTCAGGGTGACAGCAGACTTGTTCCTTTACCACTCACTCCTCCTTTGTTAGTGCTGCAGGGCCATCTCCAGTGTCCCCCAGTGGATATTTACCCAATTTTCTTCACCTGTTATTTTGGAGGACCAATTGGATACATATACAAACAAAGGAGGCAGGGAACCGTTGATTGTATGGGGAGATTCTTAGCAGCAATTAGCATTGAACTACGATCTCATTAAGTCACCCCCATCCTCCAGGAGTAGAAGCTAAGACAGAAACTCTAAGAATTTCATGAAAGGTTTAATATATGTGTATTCTCAGGCAGCCATGTCATACCGTTTCAACAGGTACATCTGGAGGCAGTGAACCAATTAGTAAACCTTATTAAAGCTCATTAAATCTTCAACACCACAGCAGTCAACTCTTTCAATCTGAATAACTAGAGATAACTTTGACTTCAAATAATTCATTGCCTTCTGACAATAAAAGTCAAGAGGTGTTGAATAGATGGCTGAGTCAAAATAGTGTATTTTAGGCTATCGTCAAAGTCATTATTACCCCCATTATGTCAAAAGGATTTATAACCATCATTTGCCCTTCTTCTGGGTTCAACAATATAATTTTTAAAGCATTTTAAACAGGAGGAAGTGTCATTTTTGGTAGAACATTAGATCTATTACCTTTCAATCGTCCTGTGGCTGTTTTCCAATACATGGAGCCCTCATGCTGTAACTCCCTCCCTTTGATGATCAGGTCCTGTTTCCGGAATATGCGGCCATTCTTTAACTTGCCACATGTTTTGTTTTCAAACTTATTTAAGATGTCCAATAGCTTTTGCTCTTTTTCATATTTGTTGACCTTTGTATCAACTGCTGCTATTATGTCCTTTATCAAACTCAGAGATTTTGCCACATCCTCATTCTCTTCTGTTCCTTCTGGGAATAAGAAGGCAAAATTTCAGCATATTATTACTTTGTTAGATACATTTTGCAACATGCAATTGAACTGAGTGTTCATCCCAGTTCCACATTAAATTAGTGGGTTGCTGGCTGTCACTCACCTTCATCCCAACATCTCAGGCAGCCATGTCATACCTTTTCAAAAAGCTTGTAACTTCTCCTATCTCAATCTTTCTTGCACAAACCCTCGAACATTTTGCCAATACCTGAACTGGCAGTCAAGGTGACAAGATTAGTGGGTACCAGTCATGATCGCAAAGATAGTAATAAAATAATGAGATGAGATTAGTGGCAACGTTGTGTTGTCCTGCCACCTGATTTATTAGGCACATGTAGCATACACTGTGCTGTGTTCATGGCCTAATCTTACTTACTTTTAGTATTTTTTCATGGGATGCATGCATTTTTGGCAAGATCTGCATGTGTTGACCACCCAAGTGCCCTTACAATGGGTGATGCTGCAGTCATTCTGGATTTTGATCCAGCAACCGTGATGCAACAGGGATATAGTTCCAAGTCAGGATGTTGTGTTGCTTGGAAGGGAACTTATAGGTGGGGATGCTCCCAAGCATTTACTGCCCTCATTCTTCTAAGTGGTAATGTTACAGTTCTTGAAAGTGCGGTCGAAGGATTCTTGGTGAGTTGCTGCAATAGCATCTTGTCGAGAATACACAATGCTGGAACTCACTGTAATTGAGCTAACATGCCCAAAACTAGAGAGTGGCTACCCTGTGACTATAGTGATCCACTGAAAGTCGTGCTGTCACACAAAGTTTCAAAGTTTCATCAAGCAAACCATTTGAGTTCTCATGCAAATCATTCACTGGCTATTGTTCAGAATCAGTATTATATACAATACAGAAGGAGGCTAATCAGCCCATTCACACTACTACACCAGTCATATTCAGCACAGTACATGCTATACAATTGGTCATGGTATGCTAAATCCTGTACAACCTGGTCATTTGGCCTCATGGATGTGATGAGCAGCTCAGGATGTACATTTGCAATTCACAGAGTCAGGATATTAATGCAATCCCTCAACTAGGCCTTTATCTTTTTGAATAGTCATTTTAATTAAGTATTAATGGGGCCTGAGAGTAAGGATTTAAAGAAAATAAAAAGATTATTTGAAAACAAAGGAATTACATGCAGATGATTTCCGGAGGCATGTGAGAAATTAGTGGTACGCACATTTACATGGAAATTCAAAATTGGAAGTCAAACTTCAGGAACTTTTAAATATATGGAATTCATAGCAAACAGACTAAATTGAGAATAACCCTGAATCAACAGTCTCACCTAGTATTCAAGTAGAATGCCTTTGGAATGCATTGCTGATATCATTCATTCTGAGACCATGTCCACTTGACAAAGAGTGTTGCGCAAAAAGAGAATGAGGATTGATCTTGTTAGTATAAAAGAAATTTAGGAAGAAAAGGAGAGTTTAGATTGCTTTACAACAAGAATTGTTCGTCTGAAAAAAATAGTTGGATGTTTGTGTTCGAATGCATTACGAGAACGAGAAATATTCACATTGTAATCTTGTTGAATGTTTTTCAAGACAAAGTAGAACAAGTTTTGTGCGAGATGAATTTTATACTAATGCAGCATAGAAGCTATCAGTTTGTAAAGTAAAAGGTAAAGTCACCGTAGTCCCACCAGACCATATGGTTGCTCTCTCATTAGCTAGACAGAAAGAGACAACTGGGGGTGGTTTAATCTGAAGGTCACTACACCTCAGGCAAGGGAAGAGGCTGAGAAAGAAAGTTATTCATGACAACCTCAGCAGGAATTTAACCTGTACTGTAGATATTGTTCTGTATTGTAATTCAGCTCTTCAGCCAACTGAGCTAACTGATCCCCTATCATTTTGTATCTTTTTTATGAATAGCTTTCTCAGGAAATAAAAGGAATCTGTTAGCATCCTATTTACAGAATTAGAAGCTAACTACCCCAGAGTTAAAGGTAACATGGGGTATTGATATTGGAAAATAGTTAGTTATATTCAAATACATGTTGTTTTTACTTTGGTTGAACACAGATTAATTTGGTTACTTGTTTTAGCAAAAAGAATATTGAAATTTATATAAAGAAAGCCCAGCTAGGTGGGAGGCTGGGTGTATTTAATTGGTGTAGCAAGTTGTGTGTAGAGAAATAACAAAGCTCTTTCAAAGTTTTAGTCTTTGCATATGCTTCACGAACAATCTCAAATCACCATTAACAAGGACAGCAGGTTTGTGCTCCATGAAAGTAGTACCACTTTACCAGGATGTTGCTTCAAAGTCGAACCATTTGTTGCTGGACTGTGAATGCACCAATGTAATCATAAGCATTTTTCTGTGGGCTGTTCCATCTCACTAATCTGCAGCAGAATTTATGAGAGTGACCTCACCCCCTGGGGACGTGGACACTGCAATTTATTTTCCCTGCCCAGGCTGCAGGTCACTCATGCCCAGTGACTAATTGCATATTGATCCCACCTGTACACATTTCTCCAACGTAAGGATCTGAGTAGGCAGCTGCATGTGAGGGATTGACAGATAGTAGCTCTTGATCATCACTGTCTAGCTCAGCATGTATTTTATGTTCCTGTACCACTGCCTAATAAGATAGCAGTTCTTGGGTATTTGAAAAGGAGAAAGGGAAGGTCTAGGGCTGTGGCGAGGAAATGAGTAGAACCCCAATACTTACACCAAGTGCAGACTGTAAACTCAGAAGAAACTGTGGGATGAGGAGGCAGTGAGATACGAGGAGGAGGATGAGTCAGAAACTGACTATCATTTTCAGCCTCACTGTTGGTGTTGGCCTCAGACAAAGACATCCAGACTAAAGTCTACAGTTTCTCGTTTGGTGCTGCCACTTACCATTATGCATCACCACTTCCCATAACAGAGTGCAAGGTATGTCATTGATTGTGGTGTGGTCTATTTGGGTGGAGAGTTTGTAATGTGTTCAAGAGCTGAAGAGTGGTTGTAGAAACAAAGAAAATATGAGCAGGTGTAGGGGTATGCAATTCAGCCATTCAAACCTGCTCTGCCATTCAAAATACGATCACGATTGATCATCCAACTCACCCTGTTCTTACTTTCTCCCCATACCCTTTGATCTCTTTTGCCTTAAGAACTATATCTAACTCCTTCTTGGAAACAGTCAATGTTTTCTGAGGCAGAAAGTTCCAAAGGTTAATCAGTTTCTGGGTGAAGAAATTTCTCCTCATCCAAGTCCTATATGGCCTACCCCATATCCCTAAACATGATCCCTGGGTTTTTACACCCCAGTCATTGGGATTATCCTTCCTGTGCGTACCCTGTCTAGTCATGTGAGCATTTTACAGGTTTATATGAAATCGCCTCATTCTTCTGAACTCCAGTAAATATAGACTTAACTGACCCGGTGTCTCTCCATACATTAGTCCTGTTATCCCAGGAATCTGTCTGGTAAACCTTTGTTGCACTCCCTCCATAACCAGAACATTCTTCCTCAGATAAGGAGACTAAACTGCACATAATCCTCCAGGATCATGTAAGATTGCAGCAAGATATCCCTGATCCTGTATTCAAATCCTCTCACAATGAAGTTCAAAGTTTATTTTCTTCACCACTTGTTAAACAAGCATACGTACTTTCAGTGATCGTTGTACAAGGACACCCAAGTCTCATTGCACCTCCCTCTTTCCAATCTATCGCTATTCAGATAGTAGTCTGCCTTCCTGTTTTTGCTGCCAAAGTGAATAACCTCTCATTTATCCACATTACACTTCATTGCCTAATTAGTAAACTTGTCCAAATTACAGTAAAGCATCTCTGAATCCTCCTCACAGTTTACCCTTCCATCCAGCTGTGTCATCTGCAAACTTGGAAATATTACATTTAGTTCCCTCATCTAAATCATTAATACATATTGTGAATAGCTGGGGTCCAAGCACCAATCCCTGCAGTACCCCACTAGTCACAGGCTACCACTCAGAAAACAACCCATTTATTCCCACTTGTTTTTGTTCCCAGCTAGTTCCCTATCCATGTCAGTGCACTCTACCCAATCCCGTGCAATTTAATTTTACATGCTAATTTAGTACGCTAGTCTCTTATGCAGAACTTGCAGCAGTGTTACATATTAGACTCTGATCTGAAATTATTAATGTTAATAAGGAGTCATGGCCGATAATGATTATTGGTAAGTAATCATTGAAGGAAGTGTTGGAAATTGAGCAGTAGGCAGGGTTAGTTTTACACTTGTTAGGATATGGCATTTGAAGAGACAGTCACTGACCACTCATGTGAGGCCACTGAACATCTTCCCACAATGCATTCAGGTAGTGTTGCATTAATGATAACACCATTACCTGCACCTAGAACCTTTACAGTATCTATATGGAGTTCCTCCTGTGCCTCAAAGAGGAGGAACTTTCTCTTCCAGTCTACCCACTCCTGCACCAAAGCTATTACAAGGAACATGACAGCATGATTTATGCCCTGTTGAGCCATTCAGGCTTTCCCTGGCTACTTCATACTCCTGGGCAGCAGAATGCATCCCCTCTTCAAGAGGTGAAGTCTAGCTTTAAGTGATGCTAAATTCTCATAAGCTTGGCCCCGTCCCAAGGCATGCACCCATTAAACAGTGTGCTTAGCTGCTGAATAGCACTATACTCTTTTAAACTCGTGGGCAACATAAAACTTGCGTGCTACTTGCATCAAAATGGGTGGCACGGTGGCTCAGTGGTTAGCCAATGGTTAAGATTTTGCAACAGTTTTACAATGTATGGAATCACTTCATAATGGCAGTTCTGTTCCATTTACCGACTGGCACTAAACAACGAGACATCCTCAATTTAAGGCGAAGGACAGATTTTAGAGCTGTAAGGGGGACGTCCAACAACTGTGTCACAGTCCCAGCATCCCAGCACTAATTTTCATTTTTTTTCTGAATAGCTTTCAGAACGAGCAGTGAAGGTTGCAATTGAGGCTACAATGAAAAAATCTATGGGTTGAATTTGACCACAAATTGGCTAAGTGTCAATTTTGTTGTGTTTCATTGAGGGTTTCTTTCTGCGAGTTTTCCACCTCATTATGTATACACTGGTACGCCCATGGTATCCGGATCGACATACTCGTCCTCTCACCACAGGCAGAAATACTGGCCACTGCTGGGACTTACAGGCATTCCTAGCACCGGCACAAATTTTAAAGCTCAGCTGTGCACCCAGTCAAGCATTAGCAGCCACAGCTGCCCTGCACATGTTATTGCCAATCATCTCAGACAAGAAAATTGGCGTTCGGCTTTGTCGATGGGGACCTAGAGGTGGACAAGGAATGCATGTGTTTGCTGCCCAAGGAGTATATCCTGAGATATTAATAACTGGTGTACAAAACAGAGGGCTAGAGAAGCATGCAATAAGTTGGAATCATTAGGTAACCATTGTGATTTTCATGCCAGGAATTGTCACTGTCTAGTTTCTATTCAGTGGGTGGGAGATTGGAAAACAGCATGTTAATGAGTTGAAATGATGTTAAAATGAGGATGTTAACATATGCTCATGCATGCAAATAGGCTTCTCACCAATCTCAAGTTAGACTTTAATCTTGCAATTCAACACTTTCATTAGAAAATGGGACTTTTTGCTGTTGATATCAGGAATCTCCTTGCTGCCGATCTTTCCTGATCTTCCCAACTTTCTCAACAATGCATGTGAGATTGCTCATGCATACTGGTGGTCAATATCATTAACACAGAAGAAAACACAAGCAACAGCAAACCAGCCAATTATATTTGCCACTAGCACTACTGTGCTTCCAAAAGATGTAGAGAGAAGCAATTACTAGGTCATACTCAATGTACTGCCATCACTTGCCATATATTCTTGCAAGTCAATGAAAAATATAATTGGGAGATGTAATTGCTCACATCACAGTCTCATTCAAAGTCATAATCTTTGCTTTAGTCATTTTTGTGATGTAAGCATTACTGGCAATGGCAAATTTGATTACTATCCCTAACTGCCCTGGAGAAGACAGAGTGGGGAGCAACTTTCCTGGGCTGCTGTAATCTATATGGTACAGATACTCCCAAATGTGGCAAGGAAGGAAATTACTAGAAATTACAAGAATAGCCATTGGGGAGGCAATGGCCTAGTGGTATTATCGCTGGACTGTTAATCTAGAGACCCAGATAATGTTCTGGGGACCCAGGTTCCATAAAATATCTGGAATTAAGAATCTAATGATGACTGAATCCATTGCCAATTGTCGGGGAAAGAGATGGGCAATAAATGCTGCCTAGCCAGTGACACCCTCATCCCATTAATGAATAAAAAAGAAATACTTCTAAGTCAGGGAGATCTGTTGCTTGGAGACAAACTTACAGATGATAATGTTCCTAAGTACTGCCCACCAATGTACTTCTAAGTGACAGAGGACACAGGTTTATTCCAATTATTGGAATAAACCTGTTATTCATTTGATACTGGAAATCAGCTTCTTATATGATTTTTATAGTTGGCTAATCTCATGTGACTGAAGCAGATTGGGAATTTGTTGTTTGGCATTCAGCAAATATTTTGGCAAAATTTACTTTTCTTTACATTTTACTCCAAACATGCATCATCATCTTTAAGATGAGGGGGGGAAAATTCTGCAATTGTACAACACCTTGCACAACCAAAGGGCTTCTCAGAACACTTGAATGTCAGTTGAGTTCTTGCGGTGTGTAGTCACTTTTGCAATGTAAAAAATGGTAATTTTATACATTGAATTGAATTGACCAGCTCGGAGTCTGACCTTTTGTGTATTGCAGTATTCGCTCAAGCAGGACTGGATATTTGGTGATCCGCTGGGTAACGAGTAGTATGCACTCTGGTACACCAAGGCGTCGGACCAGCAGATTGTTGCTTTGTTGCTATAAAGGGTAAAAAACAAATGTAAATTAATCTTTTCATTCTTTCATATTTACTTTGTTTGTCAAAGAAAAGTGATTAATCAGATCTTACCCTGATAAAGTTTTGGAATTTCTTATTTTGTTGCTGCAGTTCTTTAAAGAAACTGACTGCTTCTTTGTGGTGGCTACAGAAATCACCATAGGTTTGCTTCAATTTATTGCCATTTTCATCTGCAAACTGAGCACAAAGGATGTTCGTTATCAATTAAAGGGTCAATCACCATGGATTTATATTTATATTTATTTCCAAATGAAGACACCTGGATGGAGTTTCCTCGTGTGATCCTTTAAGGAAATTAGGTAAATAGAGATTAAGAAAGTTAACTTCTCCCCCGCACAGTGCTGGATTTATGGGCCACTCTGGTCGCAAAAGGTTGCATGTGAGGTGGGAAGCCCACCCATGATTCTGACAGCAATTGTAATCTGGGATCAGCATGAACAGCTTTCTCAGAAAGCAGCCCTACATTAGCGAACTTCCAGCAGTAGTAGTCATTAAGCTAAGAAACCAGGAAACTGTGGGCTTTTGGGTCTCACTGGGGGAGATTCGCTTCAAAAATCCAAAAGGGTTAAAGTGAAGGTGTGGGAAACGATCTTTATGTGGGGTGTTTGGACCTATGATGGGACCAGGGAACCCTTAGAGCAATTCAACACTGCTTGCCATACACCAGTCATTGCAGTTTAAGTGGCAGGCTTTCCACATGACATGGACCTCCTGCTACTGTGGGTAAAATATAGGCAGTGCAATGAGGCCCTTAAATAGTCATTAATCAACAGGTTCAATGGGATTGAGCGTCCTGATGCCCCCAGCATACCCCGTAAAATTGCAGACAGGTAGGGGCCAGTTAGGAGGCAGCAGCAAGGACACCTACTGGATTTTATGTGATTCCCTGCCTACGCATTCTCTTCAGAGGGGCGTTTAAAATCCAACTAATAACGTGTGATCATATCCATCAGACACATCCAAAGTATTCACATACAATGATTTACTTTGCATTTTGTCACTGTTAAAGGAAACTTTTTAAAATGCAAGTGATTTTGGATGTGAGGAAATAATGATTAGCTTTAGGTCTCCAAGGTCCTTATAGCACAAATGGAAATAATTCAGATTATCAAATCTATGCCAGCTTTCTGTAAAGCAATCCAGGCAGCCCTGTTCCTCCACACTGTCCTGTAGCCTTTCAACTTTACTTCCACTGGGTGCATTTGACGTCACACATCCCAGACAACATCCTGTTAGGCACACTTTAAATTTACAGCTTATAACTCTTATTTGCTTTAATAGCAGCGATTAAAGCCAAATTCTAAATACCGTTCATTTAGACCCTTGCAGTACATTTAGATCCAAATTCTTTCTGTACGGTGGCACACGAATAGGCCCATCCAATATAAAGTTACAGAACAAGAAATAAAATTAGTGGTTTTGGCTCTAGTCCAGTTTTGGAAGGGAGGGTATTATGAAATTGGACCTAACCTACAAGTTAAATAGGACCCTATTGCCTTTGGCTGTGTCTTTGCCACCTGTTCAGTTGAGCAGCTTAGTGAATCTGTCGATGCCTGGCTCTTCAAGGATGAGTAACAAGCTGGAGCATTTAACTCATCCACTTGTACAGTTTCTTATTGGCAGATAGGGTTAAAATTGACTGAGTAGTTTAATTTTGCGACAGAAATCGAAATCCTGATATCATATCAAAAACCCAAGATAGTTTTGAGAGATCTCAGGATTTTTAATACTGTGATCATTCAACTGTTGAAGTAGTATTCTTACAAAGCCGGCACATTTGCTTTAATGCAGCAACATTTAACCAAAACATAGGTTTTAATCATTCAACTCTTGAGCATGCCCGTGAAGTGGAAGTAAGATTTCATAAATCAACTAAGAGGCTCAGACTAATGATTAGCCACAGTCTTATCAGACCATAGGACCGCTCTCTCATTACAGACAGCCAACTATTAGTGGTTTAATCTGAGGGTTATTGTACCTCAGGTGGGGAGATAGCACTTCACGGTCCCTCAAATAGCAGCCATTCAGCTGGAACTTTGGAATTTCTTGCGTACCATTTTACTATTTCTGAATGCATCAGTTGAAGATATTCTTACTTTTCACACAGTGCAAACAAAAATGGTGTTGCAAGGCATAGAAGACACAGGTTTGTGCTGGAGAATTGCTCCATAGGATCAAGGATCGCGCAGTGGCTTCCAGAGTGACAGGCTTCATACGTGATTTGAACGATGTACTGGCAAAATATTCAACCACAGAAGACATCATTGACAGCCTGACGCTGTGCTCAGCTGTGGCCTTCTCATGCATACTTTCCAACATGACTGTCTAAGAATAACTGGAATTGCAGCTAACATTTCCCACATCTTGTGCAAAGCTGCTGAATCCTGTCGTAGTATCCCTGGCTGAGATTTAATTTGGGGTCAGTATCAATTAACTAGGCCCCATTTGGTGATCAAACATTGAACCTTTTTAGTTTCTATGGCTCAGTTCCACAATACTGAGGCTGTCACGAGAGATACATTTACACTTCTTATTCATAGTAATTCATTCTACTTTGAAAATACTTTGGCTCCACTTATTCTAATGTTACCTGTTGTAAAAGGATATCACCAATCCTATTGATGAAAAAGTTCCTTTCACTGTCTTCCTCAAAAGACTCCCGCCTTCTCTCTTTTAAGCAGAAAAAAAAGTGCTTGTGAATTTCTAAGAGTTCGTCTAAAGATGGAAATATTTTGTCAATGGTGTTGTGATCTAATTGCAACTCCTCCTTCATGCCCTTCCTAAAAATTTCTGACATTATCTCCAGGGTCCGAATGTGGTGCATCTCTGTCTGCATCAGCTCTGTAAGTGAATGAGAAACAATTTAATAAAAAAAAAAGTGGAGATGCTTGAAACCAGAAACAAAAACAGACATTGCTGGAAAAATCCAGCAGGTCTGGCAGCATTCTGTGGAGAGGAAGCAGAATTAACATTTCATGTCCAGTGACCTTTCTTCAGAACTGAAGATGGATTACTGGACCTGAAACATTAATTCTGCTTTCTCTCCACAGATGCTGCCAGACTTGCCGAGTTTCTCCAACATACAATTTAAGGACATTACAGTTTAAGGCTCAGTACTCCGCCATGGTGACTTTATATGCAGGTGTCAGTAGAATGCCACCACATAATGAGTTGGTGAAACCCATGAATAGTGAAACTGACACAAGCTCTGCAGCATTGGAGCAGAGGTCTCACTCTTGAGAAACTTGAGGGAATTTTATGGAGGAAATAGCAATCTTGGCTGCCAGCTAGAGAGAGACTGGACCACTATTACATGCTGATCAGGTAGTTGAGAGTCGAGTCTTCTACAAGACACCAAGGGCAGGAATTCCTGTCTGCCGACAGCTGCCAGCCAAACAGAAATCAGCAACTGTGTTGTTCAGCAGTGACACCTTCTAAAAGAGGTACCTGCAGAGATAATGGATTCATTGGTTATGATTTTCAAAAATTCTTTATACTCTGCAAGGCTTCACGGAATCTGAAGTTAGCAGATATACCATCAGCTTTCATGAAAGGAGGGAGATAGAAAACAGGGAACAACGGACATCAGTCACTGGAAAAATGTTGGAATCTATGATTGAGGAAATCAATAACAATACATTTTCAAGATCATATGATGATCTAAGTCAAAATGATTTTCTGAAGGGGAATAATGAGAAATTTATTGCAGCTTTGCGAAGATATAACCAGCACTTTAAACAAAGGAGAACTAGCAGATGCACAATACATGAATTTCTAAAAGGCATTCAATAACATGCCACAGGAAAGAGTATTAAGATAGATAAGGGTTCATGCGTTTGATGAAATATAACAGTATGGGCATTGCTGTCTGTATGGCACGCGTGTGTGTTCTGGAAACTACATCTTTTAAAAAGCAAGGCACTGTTCTTCAACAACAGACCATAAAACATAGTAGCAGAAGTAGGTGGTTCAGACCACTGAGTCTGCTCCATCATTCAGTAGGATCATGGCTGATCTGATAATCTTCAGCTCCGTTTTCATGCCTTATCCTCATAACCCTCAATTCCCTCACTGATTAGAATTTGCCAATCTCAGCCTTGATTAGACTTATTGACCCAACCTCTACAGTTCCCTGTGGTAATTAATTCCACAGATTCACTACCCTCAGAAAAAAGAAGTCTTCAGAAGAAGGGTCTAGGCCCTAAACGTCAGCTTTCCTGCTCCTCTGATGCTGCTTGGCTTGCTGTGTTCATCCAGCTCTACACCTTGTTATTTCAGACAAAAAGAACAGTTTCATCCACTGTGACTATTTCTGTACAACAAAATAGGTGACAACCAGTCTCTGGTTCATTTCTCAGGGCAATGCTTTGATGGAATTTAAGCAAAGCTTTATATTAATTACTGCATTCTCCATGGCAGAGCCTCTATCAATCAGAATCCACTTGCCAACCAACCAACCAGCACTCTCTTCTCACAGTATAAATGTTAATTTCCCCTTACTTTAGTATACCTTGTAACTCATCCCAATAAATGCAAGATAAAAACAAAATGCCTTTACAAAACGCGGGTCTTTTCTGCAGTTCTGTACTGCTATGGAATGGATAGCATGGATAGCGGGTTGCCTTTGGATAGAATGCAGACAGTGAGATAAACATGATCTTTTATCAAATTTGCCCGCTATAATTAAGGGAATGCCTCAAGGATTAATGTTGGCCCCTGAGATATCTACAATCTATGTTAATGAATTAGGTGAAGAGACAGTGCAGTGTTTCTAAGTCCACTGACAATTCAAAATTAAATGGGAATTCAAGCTGTCAGAAAAACACAGACTGGAAAATGATACACACTGGCTAAGCAGGCAACAATACAGCAAATGGAGTACAATACAGAAACATGAAAGATTATTAACTTTGATAGGAGGAACGGAAAAGCAGAGTAATTTTTTTTAAAAAGGGTGTAAATGTGTAAATATTGATGCTCAAAGAGGCTTGGGTTACATATACAAGGAATACAGAAAGTGACATTGTAGTTTCATATAACACTTAGAAAGGCAAATGGTATCTTCATTGTACAGTGATTGGAGTCCGGAAAAATTTGCAAGTTTAGTGAGACCAGTAATTTAAAGAAGAATACGCATGCATTGGAGGAAGTACGACAAATTCATTGATTCCTGGGATGAGAGGGTTGTCCTGTGTTAAGATGCTGAGTAAATTGGAGTTATATCAGCTGGAAGTTAGAAGAATAAGCAGTGATCTCATGAAAGGTACAGGATGCAAGATGGACTTGACAGAATAGACACCAAGAGAAAATTAAAGTGGTATTTCAGGATAAGGTGCTGATCATTTAGGAGAAATCTCATAATTTGAAAGAGATAGTAGCAACTGCAGATGCTGGAGTCGGAGATAGCATGGTGTGGAGCTGGATGAATACAGCAGGCCAGGCAGCATCAG